GACAGTTGTCGAGGCTCTAACCAACTGAGCTACAGAGAGACAGTTGTCGAGCTCTAACCAACTGAGCTACAGAGAGACAGTTGTCGAGCTCTAACCAACTGAGCTACAGAGAGCCAGTTGTCGAGCTCTAACCAAGTGAGCTACAGAGAGACAGTTGTCGAGCTCTAACCAACTGAGCTACAGAGAGACAGTCGTCGAGCTTTAACCGCAAGTTCATGTTGTTCATGTAATATTTCAAATCCGACTATGAGGACTGGACTAGATTTCAAGTCCGCGCAATTTGATCAAGTCCGAGGCGAAGCCGAGGACACTGGATCAAAATGCTAGGACTTGAAATCTAGTCCAGTCCGAATTGGAGGATTAATATGAAATGACATCTCGTGCGAGTAAATCACTACTTAAAGTGAAGTGAAAATTACCCCGTTGACTCGATAGGTAAATGGGTAGAGCGGCGGTCTAGATACACGAAGATGCGAGTTCAAATCCCGCTCGAGCCAACGAATTTTTCGTTGCTCGATTGCAGTGTCAGAATAATATGAAACTAGTTTTTCGTATCCCTGAGCCTGATGATGATTATGAAAAAGTGAAGTGAATTAGGTCTGTTTCAAACATCGCGCTTCTCATGTGCCGAAGCATTAGAAACAATAGATAATGAGACATTTCAGCTGATTATCTATTGTTTTTAATGCGTTCGGCACATGAGAAGCGCGATGTTTGAAACAGGCCTTCATTTTGATTCAGTCCCAGGACGGGATCAATATTCTTCACCAAGCATCCAATTGGCTAATTCATGGGAATTATTAACGAGTTTACGATGTATATATACTAAATATTTTCCGGGTATAAAAGATCATTTTCTAGGAACCGATTTCCATATTTTGAAACACGAAATTCTTGTTTACATAATTTAACCAATCGGCAGTCAGTATCAATATGAGGTGACGACCTTTGATCACAAGACATTAGATATTCTATTTCATGCCAGAAAATTCCTGTCTGGTAATTAAAGACCCTTTGAACACTTTATGCGGAAGCGATATTTGTCTGCTGCTGTAAACAGATCATTTTGTTAAAAATTTCAAGCAAATACTAACACAGTCTTTCTCGAAGAACGCGCTGTGTCTATATTGTGTCTATATAGCGAGGTTTACACTACAGAGCGACTAACATCAACATAGAACTTGTTTTGTTATTACGAGAGAAGAATGGCGTGATATTTATGGCGTCTTATATACAAGGTTATGATGAGGAAAGGTTCGCAGTCAAAGTTAATCGAAATTTCCTCTGTTTGATTTGCTTCAATGTCCTTAAAGACCCGGTTCTCTGTCCGAGAAATCAACATTGTTTCTGTCGTGCTTGTATTACGAAACACCTTGAGAATTCACGAAGATGCCCTACGTGTGCG